GCTAATCGTCCAGATATCGTGATCAGAGTCCGCAAAAACAAATAGTGCTTGACATGCCAGTCCCTGAAGATTGTAATGTATCTTTGAAGATATTAAAAAAAAAAACTGTCAAAATACGAGGACATTGAAATCGAAATCTAAAAAATGTGGCACATGAGGACATCGATAATTCCAGTTGAAGTTGGAGCCCTCAGATTGAGTGGAAAAAATTCCGATAGACTCAGTGATGTAATTCCTGGTCGCCCGGACCTGACTGAAATACAGAAACTTTATCTATGTAAAATATGAGTGCTCTTAGGTGTTTTTCCTCAAATATTGCTCAGTGGAAAATTCTGCCATTTCTGAGCTTAGATCTCTGGTTGGGGCCCGGAATGAAATGCGTATAGACCAGAAATCAAAGGGAATAATAATAATAATAATAATAATAATAATTATAATTATAATTTCCAGCATCAGCATCATCTTTCTAGTGAGGGTACTCATTTTAATAAACAGAATTTTCTTCACTGTCAATATAATATCCTTCATAATATATAAACATATTCCTAATGATCTTAAATCCTATTCTTCTGTATTATATTTTTCAAGATGTCCATCGTGTTTCTGAAAATGTTTTTCATCGAAATCACCATATTTTCTTTGATTTTTATTATTTTTGCAATCATTACGCCACAAACAAGGTGAAAATACCACTAAGCTACAAGGGGCTACTGGGAGTAAACTTTCTTTCAATCCAAGTAGCTCGTCCTGGGTAAGACGTGAAACTACATACGCGTCCTGGGTAAGACGATAAACTACGTCCAGCGGCAAGGCCTCTGATCAGGAGGTTTTAAGGAGCGTGGAACCACCTCTTAATTGCTGGTGTTCCCAGGTCCACCCTGACCCGGGGTGGTAGCACCTGTTAGGGTTCCAGCTATGGGCAAATAGTTAACTATTACCATCAATACTTTTTTGAAAAAAATTATTATCAGCAATACAATTCTGAAGGAAAAATATTATCAGAAACAGATTTTTGACAAAACTAAATATTACCAGCAATAAAAAATGTTGTCGGCATTTAAATAACCCATTGATATTGATATGCCGTAAACAACATAAACCAAACCAATCTAAAGCAAAGAATACATATTCTATTCCTACAAAATTTCCAGTTATTTTTTTAAATCGAATTTACCCCAAAGCAAGGCAGTAAAGCCACTAAGACACAAGGGGTTAATGGGTGCGGAAGAATTCGAAAACAGAAAAAACTATGAAGACAACAGAAGAAGAATCAGGAAGCTAGTACATAACGGTTGATACTGCATTTAATTATTTAAAGTTCACTGGAAAGAAAGAAGAAGAGAGTTCTCCGAGCGAGACGTGCGTGAAAAAAAAATCTGTTAGTTTAGAAATTATGCTTACATCTCGCGAATTCAACAACATTGAAGATATTATATAGAATTATGTCACAACTCTAGTCCACATATGGTGGCGGTAAGCCATATTTGATCTGATCTGTCTTGTCTAAAGATAGGACGTAACAGGTGGACTCATGTACTTTCTGACGTAGTAGAAGAAACCATCTATTTTCCCAGCATTTTCCCTCGCACACTTGATGCGTGTTAACAAGGTCTGAGGCGAGACCACACACACAGACACACATACACAGACATAGAAATATATATATATATATATATATATATATATATATATATATATATATATATATATATATATATATATATATATATATATCGGAAGAATTCCAAGTAAGATATATTTAAACATTTCTAAGATACAACTGTTCAGAGCTTAATCTAACAATTAGACAATTTTGTTGATATACCCGGTATATATATATATATATATATATATATATATATATATATAGTGTATATTTAGGCAGCAATTTTTCATTTGTGCGTGTTTCATTAAATAATATAGACAAGTTTTGTCTATTTATTTTAAGTAAGTTCCATTCATATTGTCTGATAAGCTTAATAACATTATCATTGAAAGACGAAAGGAAATCACCATATTGATACATGTTTTTTAATCCTATCTAAGCTTTCGGCTTACATAACAGACTATCATTATTGTTTCATCCGTGTATTGGTTGATATATTGAAATGTAATTGTTATCTTTGATAATTGCTTATGTAAGCCGAAAGCTTAGATTGTATTTACATACATACATATTGGATTTACATATATATATATATATATATATATATATATATATATATATATATATATATATATATCGCATACTGAGTGCTTGTGTTAATAAAATGGTGCTCGATGTAAAATAACAAAGCTATTAAGAATATATTAATAAATATACATATTATCTTTCACTGGTATCAACACAAAAACTTCAGCTACTGCGTACAGACTGAGCGTTACATAATTTAGATTTGAATAAAAATATCTTTCATACATTATACGGGGATTACATTTTTTATATTAAAAATATATTTTGCATTTAAAATAGGATTTAATTTTATATATATAAAATAAACGAGAATACATAATTCATTTTATATTTGATTAAACAAGGATTAATAGTATTAATTATATATATATATATATATATATATATATATATATATATATATATATATATATATATATATATATATATATATATATATATATATATATATATATATTAAAACTGACAGGCCTAAAATTATATGAGAAAAGAAAATTAATTTTATTTTTAAAGTTGGGATTATTATTTTGTATTAAGGATAATGGGAGATTACATTTAAAAATATATATATATATAGAGAGAGAGATAATATTAGTGGAAAATATACATACATATGCAAAATTTTAAGATTCAATGGAATAAATTATGACCATGGAATATTAGTGTTTAAACCTTTTATATATATATATATATATATATATATATATATATATATATATATATTGACTCTATCTCTTCTCTCTCTCTCTCTCTATATATATATATATATATATATATATATATATATAGAGAGAGAGAGAGAGAGAGAGAGAGGGACATATGGAGGGAGTTAAAATATATATTTAAACATATATTGTTAAATATAACAGACAATGTTCGTATGCATATATTTTTTATTATGCTGTTCCTCGGTCTAAGATTTCGACTCATATGAGCCATCTTCAGGGTTGTTATACTGACATTTAAGCAAAGATATTCACCATCAAAGATGATATTCTATGATGTTGACCTAGAAGATTGCTATGTCTAGATGCAATGTAATGTGTTGTGACTAGTTTGGAATGTAATTTTGTTGAGTGTGGGTTGCTTTGTATTAATATAGATGGCCTCTAATATTTGAAGTTTTTTTTACTGTTTGTATGTGTGTGTATTGTTGTATATATATATATATATATATATATATATATATATATATATATATATATATATATCATAGTTGTATATTTAGGCAGCAATCCTTCCTTTATGCATGTTTCATTAAAAATTAAATGCCCCATAAGGGACTGTGTTCCTCATCAAACCGGACTCATAAATAATTACATCGGTTACACAACCACATGCTTATCCAGACGGTTTACGTTACACCTATCTGATCATAGCTCCAATAGAATCCATTTAAACACACACACAAACTTACCAGACTCCATTAGAAACATACTAGTAGAAAATACAAATATATTAATTGCATCCACCTGCAAAAAAAGATTAAAAATAATGGAAGCTTTAATAATAAAAAAGAAAAGGCCTACTCTTAACAATATTAACTATGAACAAGACCACAATGTGCTAACCGTATTCGGAAATTAAAAACATCCCTACAACACACTAAGACATACGCATATCGCACACACTCAATTAAGCTGAAAAATCGAATTTTCCTTAATAATGGCTAAAGGTATAGCCGAAAGCGCTCGGAAATATAAAACATTTGGACACTTCTTACACACCCTTTGTCCAGAAAAGAAAGCTCTTGTTCGAACACAAGAAAAATTAAATAAAAAGCTTAACCGTAGTACCTTGTCTTTCGTTTTTAATGAAACATACATATATACATACATACATACATATATATATATATATATATATATATATATATATGTGTGTGTGTGTGTGTGTGTGTGTGTGTGTGTGTGTGTGTGTGTGTGTATTAGATAAGTTAGTGTCAAAGCGGTAAATCTTTTTCCTGTGACCTTAGGATTGGATTTCATCAGATGTTTCATAATGTTTTCTTTCCTCCTCTAAGGTATATTATAAAGAGATACACTACTCCAATTGACCCGAATAAAAAAAATCAAATTATCTATTATAAAAAATTTAAGACAGCCAACCTTATCCTCAAACATACCAACACACCAACTAAGTCAATATTAAAAAAAACGAACATTATCTATGAGTTCAAATGCCCCTTAAGGAACTGTGTTCCTGATCAAACCGGACTCTTAAATAATTACATTGGTTACACAACCACATGCTTATCCAGACGGTTTACGTTACACCTATCTGACCATAGCTCCATTAGAATCCATTTAAACAATAAAACGCTTAACCGTAGTACCTTGTCTGTCTTTTTTTTTAATGAAATTTTTAATATATATATATATATATATATATATATATATATATATATAGGGAGATTGTAATTGATTTCAACGATCGTTTTCTTACTCTGATATAACTGTATGTTCTAAGCTATCTGTTTCATTTCTCGCACATGTTAAACTTTCTTCCGGCTTTCGTGCTTCAAATACAGAGTCAACCGTCATCTTCTGTTTTCTTAAATTTATCGTCCTTTCTCCTTCATAATTATTTACCTGGAGTAAATAATGAAGTTATTAAGAAGAATAGAATTGAAATTAATGCTAGCAAATACTTCACAGCTCAAGCATCATTCCTTCATATTCAGCCTATAAAGTTTTCAACCCACCCTCTTAGGTAGATATAAACAGACTAGTTAAATGGCTAATTAGACTGACAGATATGAAAAGACTGAGATAGATAGATCGATAGATAGATACATATGAAAGGACTACGATAGATAGATAGATAGATAGACAGACAGATAGACATGAAATGACCGAGATAGATAGATAGATAGATAGATAGATAGATAGATAGATAGATAGATATGAAATGAAATGATTGAGCTAGCTAGACAGATAGCTAGATAGATAGATAGATATGAGAGGACTGAGATAGATAGATAGATAGATAGATAGATAGATAGATAGATAGATAGATGAAATGAAATGAAATGATTGAGCTAGCTAGACAGATAGCTAGATAGATGAATGAATATGAGAGGACTGAGATAGATAGATAGATAGATAGATAGATAGATAGATAGATATGAAATGAAATGATTGAGCTAGCTAGACAGATAGCTAGATAGATAGATAGATATGAGAGGACTGAGATAGATAGATAGATAGATGAATAGATGAATAGATAGATAGATAGATATGAAATCACTGAGATAGATAGATAGATAGATAGATAGATAGATAGATAGATAGATAGATAGATAGATATGAACAGACCGGGAAAGATACGAGTGAACTGAGATTGATAGATAGATAGATAGATATGAAATGAAATGATTGAGCTAGCTAGATAGATAGCTAGATAGATAGATATGAGAGGACTGAGATAGATAGATAGATAGATAGATAGAGAGAGAGAGAGAGAGAGAGAGAGAGAGATGAAATCACTGAGATAGATAGATAGATAGATAGATAGATAGATAGATAGATAGATAAGAAAAGACTGAGAAGCATATGGAATTTAATTGCGCTGTGTGATTATTTTTATCCTGTCACCATAGAAAACATTTTTCGATACTTCAATAAACCTCTTCGTCATATTGGTAACAGCCGAACTTAGATCCCATATTTATTTCCACGTCAAGCAAATGGACAAGAATGAATGCTGATCTTTAGTGTTATCAATAAAATAAACGTCTGACCGAATTCTTGTCATAAGACTTGGAGTTTTAAAAGTCAGGATCGTGTTCGTCATATGTGACTTTAAATTCAAATCCCACTTCGTTTCTTCTTGCAAGAGCTTTGGGTCTTTGTTGTCCGTCTCATGTCAGGTAAAGGTCAAAAAGTTGTGACGTTACTGAGCAAAGTTGACGCTGGATATTATGAAGTTGAATAGCATGTTCAAAAATGTAAAATAAATAAGCGTGTTTCTTTGTTTATGTGTCTAGTTTATACGGCCTTTTCTTATTTCATTTTGAGCAAATTATGGATTGACATTTGGTGTATGGCAGCCATAAGGCAGCTATTCATTCAATCGAAATTCACAGAATAAAATGTTTTTTTCGTCCCTCATTTGAACAACAATGTAAATATACCTTAATTCTAAGTAGAGTAAAGAAAACTATAAATCCTTTATTCCTAACAAGAAACCAAAATGTACCATAATAATCATTCTTTGTCGCAGTTCAGGAAATAAATATTCTTTCATTCTTAATCCACAAAACAAAACAAATATTCCTTCATTCCTACTAGAGGAAATAATATTATTATTTATTCGTTCGTAATTCACCAAATAATTGATATTCTTTCATTCCTAATCCACAAAAAAAAAACAAACAACAAATATTCCTTCATTCCTAATGCACGAATGAATATTATTGCAAATATACCTTCATTTCCAATGCAACAACAACAACAACAAAAAAAACGTTTTCCTTAATTCATCATAATTAAAAATTATCTATTATTTTGCGGGTACTTGCACTCTTTGCTTGAGATGAAGCCACGTAGGTTACGTGACGGCCACTTAGTGACGTCGATTTAGAAAATGACGAAAGTGATCAGTCCATCAGTTAGCTTCCAAGAGTCTAACCGAGCGTTTTCCTTCTTTTTTTTTTTTTCTGTTGTACGGACCCAGACTAAATCTGCCCTGCCGTGCCGAGGCTAAATCTGCCTCGCCACCTGCAATCTGGTAAAGGTTCAGCTCACAAGCCCATAGCGCCGTTTTTCACACACACACACACACACACACACACACACACACACACACACACACACACACACATATATATATATATATATATATATATAAAGGTGCAATTAATTAAGCTTGTAGTAAAATAAGAACTAATGCAACAGAAATTAATAAAAACAAGGATCTTTACATTCATAACAGGTCCGGGGTTTTTGTATATTATTTGAATTGTTCGCGACGATGGATTTCTCGCCAATTAAATCATTAACCTTTGTATTTGTTTTTATATGAATAATTCATGAATTTGTAAATTAATTGCACCTTTATTGAAATTAAAATAACTGATCCAAGTGCAACTTTTGGATAATAAGTGCGACATTACTGTAATTATTGAACAATATAGTTCATGCCACTTTGACAGAAAATTTACCAGTAAAAAAGAATTCGCTTATCACCATAGTTGTACAAGAACGCACAATTGTAAAATTTAAGATCAAACTCAGCGTTGCTACTGCACGCTCCAAAAATAATAACTCATTTCTAATAGCATTTTTCGGATACAACACTACATATATTTTCGTTGTCCTCTTATTACCTGAGAGAAAAAAGCAGAACAAAATCTATTCCATACCTGAGGATGTCTGTAGGAACAGACGAAAGCTTGTAGTAAAAATAAGAACTAATGCAAAGAGAAATTTATAAAACAAGGATCTTTTCATTCATAACAGGTTCGGGGGTTTTTGTATATTATTTGAATTGTTCGCGACGATGGATTTCTCGCCAATTAAATTTTAACCTTTGTATTTGTTTTATATGAATAATTCATGAATATATATATATATATATATATATATATATATGTATATATATATATATATATATATATATATATATATATATATATACATATATATAATTTCTATGCTCGGTGCTCAATATTAATGATAGAACTAACATATTCAGTTATATGGATATTAGTTTGTAACCCTGGGTTTCACGCTTTTGCGATCATCAGACAAACTGGTTTATTTTTTTTAAATTCATCATGGTTAATGCTATGTATTTTTTGTTCGGTTTGGTTTGGGGTGTTTTATTTTATGGCACATCAACCTCAATGGGTTATTTAATGCCGACAACTTTTTCCACAGTAATATTTCTACGCGATAATACTTGATTAGGTTTTTAAAATCTCTGATAATCTTTCGAAATTAATTAAGTCCTTCAAAAGGTCTGAGTCATAATTAATTTCCGTTGAGGTGCTCAATATAGGGACGAATGCATCGTCCTAACTACTCATTATCCGGGGCAGAATCAATTTAGAAGGAGCTAACATAAGTTTCTGCACGGTAGTGGCAACGTACACAATGGATCCAAGGAAATATTCTATTCTTTTCCTTGACGTCTTAAGGAGCATAGAACTAGAAAAACACAGGCAATACTTTGGAACTCGGTTGGTCTGTTCTACACTCCATCTATATGCAGTTTATATAGCAGTAACCGAATATTAAATATTCTGATTGCTGCAAAATGGTTTCTCTAATGAACACAGAGAAAACTATGAATACAAACGGTGGAAAGACAACGGGAAACCACTCCAATACTTTCCGCAAAAATTCGTAGCAATTCACAAATAAGGAAAATGTGGAGAGTCATGATCTGCTACGTGCTGCAGGGAAATGCTATTAAAAATAAAAGGACGTATTGAATCATCTTTTCGATCCATACTGCTTATTTGATGCATACACCAAGAATAGCACAAGAAATAAAAATGGAACTCGTTTGGTCTATTCTACCACGCTCGCCATATTTGGGGAGAGGCCTGATCACCTACGTGATGAAGGGATATGTTATTAAAATAAAAGAACATCTGAAATAGTCTTTTCGATCCACACTGCTTACTTGACTTATGCATCAAGAATAACACAGGAAAAGAAAATGGAATTCGGTTGGTCTGTTCTACCACGCTCGCCATATTGGGACAGAGGCCTGATCACCTATGTGATGAAGGGATATGTTATTAAAATAAAAGAACATCTGAAATAGTCTTTTCGATCCACACTGCTTACTTGACTTATGCATCAAGAATAACACAGGAAAAGAAAATGGAACTTGGTTGGTCTGTTCTACCACGCTCGCCATATTTGGGGAGAGACATGATCACCTACGTGATGAAGGGATATGATATTAAAATAAAAGAACACCTGAAATAGTCTTTTCCATCCATGTTGCTTATTTGTATACACAAAGAATAACACAGGAAAATAAAATGGAACTCTATTTGGTCTGTTCTATCACGCCCGCCATATTGAGGAGAGATATAATCGCCCTACGTGCTGAAGGATATGTTATTAAAATAAAAGTACGTCTGAAATAGTCTTTTCCATCCATGTTGCTTATTTGTATACACAAAGAATAACACAGGAAAATAAAATGGAACTCGGTTGGTCTGTTCTATCACGCCCGCCATATTGAGGAGAGATATAATCGCCTACGTGCTGATGGTATATGTTATTAAAATAAAAGTACGTCTGAAATAGTCTTTTCCATCCATGTTGCTTATTTGTATACACAAAGAATAACACAGGAAAATAAAATGGAACTCGGTTGGTCTGTTCTATCACGCCCGCCATATTGAGGAGAGATATAATCGCCTACGTGCTGAAGGGATATGTTATTAAAATAAAAGTACGTCTGAAATAGTCTTTTCCATCCATGTTGCTTATTTGTATACACAAAGAATAACACAGGAAAATAAAATGGAACTCGGTTGGTCTGTTCTATCACGCCCGCCATATTGAGGAGAGATATAATCGCCTACGTGCTGATGGGGATATGTTATTAAAATAAAGTACGTCTGAAATAGTCTTTTCCATCCATGTTGCTTATTTGTATACACAAAGAATAACACAGGAAAATAAAATGGAACTCGGTTGGTCTGTTCTATCACGCCCGCCATATTCATCTAACCTTGCAGCGACCGATTATTATCTTTTCCTATCCCTGCAACATGCGTTGATGAAGGGAAGATTTCTCCAATAAAAATCAACTTCGATCGAGGTATCAAAGCGCTGGCCAGTGGGTGAATAATGACAATAGTGAATAATAATCTAATAAAATATAATTGTACATTTTTTAAATAATAAATTTGATAGAAAAGTTATAATAAATTATGATACTTAGGCTAAGAAAAAGTTTATACGAGTCGGACGTAGCGAGTGAATTAGTTTCTGGGATTATTTTTTTTTCATAAATTCACCCCAAACAAGGCCAAAATGCCACTAAGATGCAAGGAGCTTGTTATGATGTTAATTTGGGGTTAATAAAGACAAACGCCAAATAACATGTAACAATAAAATGGGGTTTATTCGGTTGGTAAGTTGGTACAGATATCGCCTGAGTAGTCTATAACTAACTCAGCCCAGAACTTCTCGGTATTTATCATTTCACCCACGGGAAACGAATATGGCACAAGGCCGGTTTTATTGTGGGTTTCTCCGAGCCCGTAGGCTCGGCCAAAAAAATAGCCTTTTGAAGCCGATTAGACGGGTTCAGGCCCTGTCTACCTCCCCGGACGAAACCTTGCCCTTCGGCAAAGCCTCGTCCGGGTTCCTCTCTGCCAACGCAGAGAGTTCAACAGACGTCGGAAGTCAGCTCAAGAACTTCTCCGACACTGTCTTTTGACATGCCACTATTTAACGTCCTTGTTTGTAGACGAGTTCATCTTCAAGAGGGGTGGTAGGTTCCTACACAACAGAGCTACTGGAAGTAAACTAAAGCGAGGATTTAGAAGGAACCGGAAAGCCAGCCCTAAACAGTAAACAAAGGATAAAACTTTACTCTTCTTCAAAAGACTGGAGAGGAGTTTGAACCGGGCGATAGGTGAAGATATCTACTGCTATCGAATATTCTGTCAACCTGCTTGCAAACCAAACAGGCGTCCAAACGATCTATGGTAGCACCTCCACATTGATGTACGAAAGAATTCTTTAATAAAAACCAGATTCAAGAGTTTATCGAAAAGATTTTTGTTTGTTTGTTTTTTTTTTTCAAATCAAAACTCGAGGAATTTTCCTGTAAAGGAATCAAAGAGCTGCCTGATGAGTGTCAAGAAGTCTTTGCAAATAATAGTGAATATATAACGGAATAAAATCGAGCTGTAATTTATTTATTGAAGAATGAAAATGATAAACAGGAGGGGAAATTATTTCTAGATCAACCTTATATTTACCAAGTGAATATAAATAAAAGAATTCCATTCTTAAACATTTTAATTGATTTTACTCGTGATAACTTTAACACGGCTGTATAAAAGAAATAATTCAAAATCCATATCGACTTAAATTACACGAGCAAGTCTCTTTATAGATACAAAATAGCTATTATTAAAAATGTTTTTTTTTTGCATACAAGTCAATAACAGGCTAACGTCCACATCACGTTGAAACACAGGTTCCAGTACGATCACCAAAGTTAAGCAAGGACGAGCCTGATCAGTCCCTAGATGGGTGACCGCTGGAGAATACCAGGTGCTGTAAGCTTTGATATGCAAGTGATATAAAGATCTTGCGACCACATCACTTTGAAACACAGGTTCCAGTACGATCACTAAAGTTAAGCAAGGACGAGCCTGATCAGTGCCTAGATGGGTGACCGCTGGAGAATACCAGGTGCTGTAAGCTTTGATATGCAAGTGATATAAAGATCTTGCGACCACATGACGTTGAAACAGAGGTTCCAGTACGATCACCAAAGTTAAGCAAGGACGAGCCTGATCAGTCCCTAGATGGGTGACCGCTGGAGAATACCAGGTGCTGTAGCTTTTGATATGCAAATGATATAAAAGATCTTGCGACCACATCACTTTGAAACACAGGTTCCAGTACGATCACTAAAGTTAAGCAAGGACGAGCCTGATCGGTGCCGATGGGTGACCGCTGGAGAATACCAGGTGCTGTAAGCTTTTGATAGCAAGTGATATAAGATCTTGCGACCACATGACGTTGAAACAGAGGTTCCAGTACGATCACTAAAGTTAAGCAAGGACGGGCCTGATCAGTGCCTAGATGGGTGACCGCTGGAGAATACCAGGTGCTGTAAGCTACGGTGTGCAGGTGATATAAAGGTCTTACGACCACATGACGTTGAAACAGAGGTTCCAGTACGATCACTAAAGTTAAGCAAGGACGAGCCTGATCAGTGCCTAGATGGGTGACCGCTGGGGAATATCAGGTGCTGTAAGCTTTTGATGTGTGTGTGTGATATAAAGAGCTTACGACTACATAACGTTGAAACACCGTACGATCACCGAAATTAAGCAACGTCGAGCCTGGTCAGTGCCTAGATGGTTAACCGCAGGGGAATACCTGATGCTGGAATCTTGTATGTACAGGTGGTAACGGATCGCAGTTGTTAATCAAGGAACGGAGTTCCAATTCCAGTCGAGTTTTTTATATTCACTTACGCGCAAATATCCCTCGAAAGCTATTAATCAAACTTTTCTTCTTCCAGATATAGGTTAATTAGTAAGACTGATATATTTTTCTTCTTCTATGTGCCGTGTCCATTCAGTATATTAGCGATCATGGCTCTCCACAATTTCCTGTCTGTGGTATCTCTTAATAACATTTGTTTTTTTTTTGCCCTCTTTTCCAAACAATACTCTGCTATCAATTCACTTCAAGCTCGCAGGATAGTTTGTGTGTTGCTTTTCTCAGTCTCTCATACCTTCAATCTTTCCTGTGCTTATCAAAGTTTCCAAGCCATTTTTCCTCGGTATTTTCCCCAGAAATATCATATGTCACTTCCTGAGGTTAAATATAAGTGTCCTTTTTGTAGACATTTTTCCAAAGCTTCATCGTAGCTCACATGTTTCGTTCATGGTATTCTCAGCATCCTTCTGTAGAACCAATTTTCTCTTGCTTCAAGTCTCTTCTTCATCTGCGAGGAGACTTGTATCAGTACATCATTATGACTGTTGTGGAGTAGCTGAACACCCCCTCGTGATGGACTGGTCTAAGACTATATAAACAGCACTCTCTCTTACTGAGAGTGGGGAGCTTACGATTATTACATTAGTCTGTGTTCTCACTCACTCTCCGCAATAAACTACTTCTTATTTTATATATGTGTGTCAACCTTTTACAAAAAAATTCTTACAATCTAAAAATAGTCTCTGGCTTTAAATAACCTATAAAAAGTTGATAAATAAGACGTAGAAAACGAATCAATCAATATATATATATATATATATATATATATATATATATATAAATGTGAGTGTGTGTGTGTACATTTTCAATATATTAACCAATACACGGAACACTAATGATAGTCTGTTTTTGTTGCATGAAAAATTTCAAAGCAACGACTAACTCGTGTATACGAGACGCAGAAACGATAAAATCGTATCTCAGCTCGTGACGTCACATTGATTGGATTTAAACATGTATCAATATGGTGATTTCCTTTCGTCCTTCAATGATAATGTTATTACTCTTATCGGACAATATGAAAGGAACCTACTTAAAATAAATAGACAAAACTTGTCTATATTATTTAATGAAACATGCATCGATATATATATATATATATATATATATATGTATAGATTTGCATAAAACAAACGACCAGATATAAGCAACTGTATATGCGCGTGTTGACGTGAATGGACAGGCAATTAAATAATCATCAAATTTATTTATGAAGTGTAAAGTAATTTATTTTATTTTATTTTTCGTCTATGAAAAAACGTTCATCCCATGTGGCATCTGGATATTTTTACAAAAACATTAGATATACTTTGTGTCCGATGAGCTGGAATACCACTGAAACTTGAGTCGCACACCTAAACGTAGGTATTTGTATATGTATATTTATTAATATATATATATATAACAATATAAATAGAAAATAATATTATCAGAAAAATAATATGATTAACATATTGTAAACAAATGCATATTAACAATAAACAAATGATTGATTCGTTTTCTGCGGCCTATCAACCCTTTATAGTTTATTTAAAGCCAGAAAATATTTTTAGATTGTAAGATTTTTTTTTAATAGTAATGGTTTAGTGATACAAATCTTAATAATTATCCTGGAAGAAATGAGATGGACTCGTCTCTAATGAGAATTTGAAAAACAAGAATTTATGTGGATATAAAGTAAGGGATCAAACCTTCATTACAATCATTATATAAACTGCCCCCTCACTTTGTGACCACTATAGCTTCTACATATTTATATTCCAGAGAATGTAAATAAATGTAAAAGACATGCCTGTATCCATATTTCTTTGATTGATTCGTTTTCTACAGGTTATCAACGTTTTACAGGTTATTTAAAGCCAGAAAATATTTTTAGATTTTAAGAATTTTGTTTTGTTTTGTTTTTTTAGCTAATAATAGTTTAGTGATACAAATGTTAGTAATTACCCTGGAGGAGAAGAGATGGACTCATGCTTAATCAGAATCTGAAAAACAGGAAATTATGTGGATATAAAGTAAGGGATCAAAACTATGTTACAATTATTATATAAACTGATCCCTCACTTGGTGACTACTATAGTTTCTACACATTTATATTCCAGAGAATGTAAAGAAATGTAAAAGAAATGCCTGTATCAGTATTTCTTTGAATGATTCGTTTTCTAATAGCTTATCAACCTTTTACAAGTTATTTAAAGGCAGACAATATTTGGTGGGGGATTATATATATATATATATATATATATATATATATATGTGTGTGTGTGTGTGTGTGTGTGTGTGAACCATTCCTATTTTTTGGAGATGATAATGATTTACTATTTAACCCATATCTGGGGGAACGAAGAGATAGATTCATACCTTTACAATACATAAATATAAGGAACCCGATTGAGATTTAGGATTTCTTCACCGTCACCGATGCAACCCAATGTTACATAAACATAACAATCTCCCGGCACAAGTGAAAACTGTCCAACCTAACACTTTCTTTATTTATATGATTGACTCATTCGTTTTTTACAGGTTATCAATCTTTTACAGGTTATTTAAAGCCAGAAAATATTTTTAGACTGTAAGAGAATTTTTTTTTTTTGGTGGCGAACAATAATAATAATTCAATGTTACAAGTCTGACTAATTAATCCATAGCTGGGGGAAGAAATGGTGGATTCATATCACTCCCAAGTTTAATTATGCGCAATTGAATATAACGAACCCAACCTGGAATTGGAACTCGGCTCTCCGATTAACAACTGCGATCCATTCTCTATTACACCACACTTACATCCAAATTTACAGCATCTGGTCATCGCAAGCGGTCACCCATCTAGGTATTGACCAGGCTCGACGTTGCTTAACTTCAGTGATCGTACGGGAACCGGTCTTTCAATATAAGCAAAAAGAACTAGAAGCCCAACATAGATTTGTTAACGGTCTATATAATCGTTTTATTTATTTTTCTATCGTTTACCCTCAGGCAAGAAGACAAAGCCACTAAGACGTGCTGGGTTATTGAGAGTGAGATAAACTGAGATAAACTGCCAAGAAAGCATGAATGTGTAGGATACACGTTCGATTCCTGTCGGAGGACACATATTTTCTGTGAAATTTCTCGGATATTCAGGCCGGTAAATGTTGTTAATACTGTTTATTTTAAACAGAGCGTTTACTTAAATATTTGTATCTGTAAAAATAAAGTATAAGCAGAAAATATATTAAAATAATTGTCGAACTTAGTCCATTTGATTATATATATATATATATATATATATATATATATATATATATATATATATATATATATGTATGTATGTATGTACGTATATATATGAAAATTTTTCATTGTTAACCTGTAGAAAAGACAATATTTATAAATATAAATGACAATAGGAAAACTGTTGTTATCGCTCACGCGTTTCGTCCAATGTGGACTTTCTCAAAGCAAAAAACAAAATGAATTTAATTAAAGTATTTTCTTTAATTAAATTCATTTCGTTTTTTTTTTTTTTTTGCTTTGCACGTGTGGAAAATAACGTCAGTTATTGTCACGTGTTGAGAATTCTCCACACGTGACAATAACTGACGTTATTTTCAGTTAACAATATGAAAATAGCGTTCTCTACATTCCTCCAGTTGCTAAGGACATTCTGTTTTTTGTTAATATTAGTTACTTTCTTTAATTAAATTCATTTCGTTTTTTGCTTTGAGAAAGTCCGCATTGGACGAAACGTGTCAGCAATAACTACAGTTTTCCTATTGTCATCTATCTATCTATCTATCTATCTATCTCTCTCTCTCTCTCTCTCTCTCTATATATATATATATATATATATATATATATATATATATGTAGTTTATAAAAAAAACTAGGTAATCCAGAGAGCTCAATGTAAATCCAGAGCAAATAATTTAAATAAAAACAGACCACTTTAAGGTTCCATGTAATAAATTATTTCACCACAGCCCTTTTAAAGGACTGCGGATCATCAGACTTGACTTCCAAAGGTTGAAACAAAAAAATGAAAAGAAATTTACACATTTTTGACGCGCCGTATTAAGCATATGTAAAATAACGAAGTGAGGTGGGTAGAGAGAAGACATGATTGAGTTAGATGCAATTTAATATTTCTATTCTTTCGAACTAAAAATTACTTGTTAAAAGTTCATACTAAAAATTACGTGTCAA